TATATATTTATCTGACAGTTAAAGTATTAACGATTGTGAAAACTTTGCAAAAAATAGAACGTTTATGTTTGAGAGGTTTTGATTTGTATGCAGAACTTATGTATCCCATTTCTGGGAACTTGTATCTCACTGCTCCAATGGAGCAAATGTTCGTCTTTATTGTAACGCACCAGTAGGGTCTTTGTTGGAACTCGTCAGGCAAGACATTTTATGGGATCTTACTTATTTTTATAGTGGTTAGTTTTCGTAATTGACCTACTTTATTATTCCCGTTTCAACGCCCCTCTAATAGCAAGAGTATCTAAACATGTCCGAATTCTCTTTGATTTCAGTACCATAACCGACTACTTAGCGATCTAAAACGATATTAACCAAAAATTTATGGAAGGGACAAATATATTGACAGTAAGTTTCCCGCGATTCACGTTAATATTCCCCATTGATTACCAGAGATAATTTTTAATAAGTCTTGCTTTTGTGTACCGACTAAACTGGCATTCGTTATAAAAGCTAATTGGAAACATTTTAATAGTAGCCAATTACAGCATTATAAAAACACAAAATGTGTATGGTGCAAATGCTGCCACAACAAAGATGCTGTCAAACAATTAATCAGGCATTGATATGCAAGATTTCACAATTATATTTCGGCTTTTAATGATGTTAACTACGTCCGTTACCTACATACTGATTTGACCCCAATATCCGACAAAAATCAGACGCCCGCTATCTCACGGACGCTATCACATTTTACCGTTACATAGCATAAATATCAAATATGCGGCAACGCGGTTTAGAGAAAACAATAAATTTAGATTTTAGCCAGGATTTTTACACAACTGAGAGCTTGTACGAATATAAATGATGCTGTATTTAACGCGCCGGTTTCACTTCGGCATCATAAGGAAGTCAAACATTTGAAGGTCCATTGCTGTTACTTAGGCTGTGACCTCGTGCGCCTAAACGTTAAGTGCCCAGCAATAAGGGTAGTCAAACAATTGTTATAAAATTAAAGCATCTTAAGGTGCGGACCTTCGAGTCATCAAATAGACTGCATTTTCGCCCTGACTCCACACAGCAAAGGATGAAGTCCTAGCTTTAGACGCATAAAGCCCTACTTCTTCAGGTTATTTTTCGGTACATCTTAACATTTCTGTGAAATAAGTTTGTCGCCAGCCCGACTTCTATGACTGGATTCCGATTTCGTTTAAGTACTACAACTACTAAATTGAAGGACCACCGAGTGGATCCCACGGCGCAGTCCCTTCTGTTTACTGACGATGTTATTTTCGGAAACATACGAGCTTCGAGTGTATTATCAGATTAAAAGATGGCTGTGCTTAAGCCTTAGAGGTCGCCAGGTTTGCGGCAGTCACACAAGTCTTGCAAAGAGTTCGGATCTGCACATTGGAGTAAGTGCACCGTTTGACTTGTTCGTACGTGAAAGTTTCAAAATTAATCACACGTAACTCATCGGGTGACATAAAAATTTCGCGGTATTCAGAATTCATATCCAGCGAGACTGTTATGCACAAGGGCTTCCTTGGCTTTGGGGATAATCTGCATGTCGTTCATGATCATAGCGAAAGAAATGACTAATTTATCTTTTTCACGTTTTCGTACTAAACTTGGCAGCCGGCGTGCTGGCATGTCCTCCATGCTTTGTTTACTTCAACTGGGCAGTTGCACGGGCTTCAAGAACTTGTACATAATGGGCACATGGTTGTAAGGGACTATATTATAAAGAGCCCATGGATAGATTGCACATGTTTTGCCAACTTATATCGTTTGTAACAGGCAGTACCACGTTATTACATGAGTAGGTCTTTTAATAACAGAGGTGAAGCTAATTAATGGTACCTATGTTCATTCTTCGTATGAGTACATCACGTTGCACTCTAAAAAAGCCTTTAATCTCCGGTGATGTAGTGGAGGGATGGATCGAGCTATATACAGACATACGGATTTACGTTGTCTGCATTACAATAGTTGCATGATGTTGCAATTAAATCGCACAAACATGAAATACTGCTAAGCTAGAAATACACAGAATGCAAAGGTAGTACTTAAGTACAATAGAAACTCGGATGTAAATGTCCCTTGGACTGCGAAGGTTGGTGTCCTATTGACGGAGGACGGTATTCACGCTACTGTGGACGCGATTGAGGCACAGGCGATTTGGCGCGTCTTCCGACATGGTGGATCGTGAGGATGATGAACGTACTATGCACTTGAAAGTGCACCATCAATCCGTGATTATAATAACTAAAGCTACACTACAAACACCATAGGAAGTTGATCTAATAACGGACTAATACGCCCACAAATCGGCCGAAATTTTCATCGTCCATTCTTCTATTGTCAACCAAGATGCCGGTGTAGCGCATTATTTGGAATTGGCTGCATAACGTCTGTCACATTGGGTAGGAGGACTTCTTCGAGTCCAAAATGAGACGATCATCAAAACCATACACAAAAGGTTGCAAAATTGTACCTAACAACTAAGTGCCTATTAACCTCACGAACTTTGTGCTCAAAGGTTTGAATAAGCCTAACATGAAACGGAGTGGTGAATCGTAATTAGCCCACAACATGATAGGATCGAAGCATGGCAGGTTTAGGTAAAATTCAGGCAATACTACTCTGTTGAGCATTTAAATTGTCGCGGCTCACCGGTTTAATGTTTGGATTTTAGTAAAAGTTTGCAATATTATCTTTAGCAATGTTCCTGCTTCATTTAACTATCCTTTCCTTACATGGTAGCTAAGAAAAGCAACCCTTGTTATTCGGCAACTCTTAGGCTATATTAGTTGATACATCAGGTTCTTCTCAGGCGGGGGTACATTCGCTCACTGAAGCTAAAAATATGCATCATGCATCATCACGTGATCAGTGACAGCGAGAAATCCACATGCCTATATATTTAGCAAGGAACTATTAGGAGGAGACCATTATCTTATAAACGAAGGTTGCAAGCAGGGTCTGCACAAAAATGCTAATACGCAAATTTAAATATGGCACATGTAACAGATTTTTCAAATTGCACTGCTAGATGGCAAGTCGCTGTTTTACCATGTTCGTAACATCCTACTCGCGCTCGTTACAAATGTACTGATAAACTGGATGAAACAGCGTTGTCTTCAAGCGAAGCAGCACTGGCCGCTGTCACTAACTACTAAATTGCCCCGTAAGAGGAAGATTTAAGGTGTCATCGTTAAGCAAATTCAGGGACAGATACAGAAACTCATAAGACACATAACCGTCCGCTCGCCCGAGAAAACTATTCCTGATGTGCTAGATAAAAACACCAGTCTTTTACGTTGTATTACATTACGTTAAATCTAGCGGTTTTGCCTTTTTCCGAATACATATCACGCTTCTTGTGATATATTAAAATTGTTGTAAAACGGCAGATTATTTATATGGAAAACTAGCAGTAAAAATAGCGCGGAGCAAATAAATTTCTTTGAGCGTACACAACTAGTGTAGACAGAGTTAATTTCACACAAATAACTAGGACCCATCTGGCACATATCAGCCAAACTTGTCAGCAGTTTTTGAATTTGTGCTCCTAAGGTAACAGAGCACACAGTACACTAGAATTTCACCAACTGAAACGGGCTTCCTTGTAGATTGAGCTGGGAACATAAACCTCCTGGACCGAATGACATGTGCCATGTTCACAGAGCATTTTGAGCTAAATGAAACGTAAACTTCACTAAGCGTGGCAGTGGTTAGTGAACAGAACTGTGGATAGCGTATTCAAGATAAATATTTATCTTTTACGGGGGTATTTGATGTGTATAAACCAAACGTGAAGGTGCTGAAGCAACTATATCCTCAAGTTATCAATATCTGCATATTCCATGAATGCCAAAAAGCGTTTCTTAATCACCCCCCAGTAGGTGAACAAGTTGTGTCAAATAGTTGAACGAAAATGAATATACATCCGCCGCAAATTGTAAAAGATTAAACGGACAACCGCACTTTTATGCAATAGTCTTGCCACATGGTTTGGTCCATAGGTGATGCAGCCTTCAGCGTTCATGTTAAACAGTACCTCCGTGCGCAGAGCGAGCTCCGTCTCACTTATCGAAACAAGTGGTATTCCGTGAAATTGAATTCCTGTGCGTAGCGTAACCACCCGCATTCCCATATCAGGGTAAGTAGAACTAATATACAATGATTCGCAATTCACAAATCCACCAAAGACGTACGCGGACATCCGCGAATCTAAAAGCTAAACAAAGCGCATAAGTGTAATTATGTGTTTGTGCATGGCGGTTAGCTTACATAAATAAGATAAGGAAATGAGGTGCATTTTTGCAGAAAAAACCGGCTCTGCTGCGCGGCAATATGAAAAAGTGAAAGTCAAGTTGTCTCCGTCACAAACATTTTCAAACAATTTTTTATTTACCCAGACTTATTATTTCACCAATTAATTGTCCTTGCTCTCTAAAACATTCTGTCGACAAACTCACCAGTGTACAGCTATTGTTAGAAACTGTTGCATTGGTAAATTGCAGTATCAAATCTGAAGTAAAACATACAACTATTAGTCTACCTTGAGGGTTTCAAAACTTAATACCTTGCAGAAGGTCACTATTTGACAAATTTAACTATGTGTGTGTTTGGTACAATAATGGAGTCAATTGTAAATATATTTCCCTTAAATTTCCTTTACATTTTTTATCAGTTTACTGGCTGAAATTAGGTGCTTTAGGTCGAGTACCACCATTACTTATACGGAAGAATTGTGCTTTTGAAAATTTGACTGACAGTGCTATATAACTAGTCTTATCCAGTGTTACTTAGGCGATTCAGAAACAAGACTCATAAAATTATCGAAAGGTAGTCTGTTTCGGTTAAGCTAGGATTGGATTGGCTTTGCTAATCTAGTGATTTAAGACAATAGTATAATCAAATTTAAAGAGTAAAGAAGCCTTGAATGTAGCGTTTAGTTTTTTCTGGTAAACCTGTATCTTCTATCGTTTAACTAATTAGCCTCTTGATTTCAGACGTTTCTGTAACCATTTCTGACAAGTTTGCTCACCTCTTGACAGGCCGGATTCGGCACTCAACACGTTCGTAACGGTTACACAATGATCGGATTCGCCGTTTATCCTGTCAGTGATAATATTAATACTTTTGTGCACACTCTGTGATTGCAGCAAGTGTTGTCCGCGTGTCTTTAACTTCAGCATTACCGGATGAGCAAGGTCATTTCCTGGAAATCCGATCACATCTGACCGACATTCGATTAGTATGGAGATGTTGAGTTTAGCGTCTTTGACATTCCTGCATATCTATTTGAAAAAGGTGCAGTCACGGGGAAAAGCCAAGGATGCAGAGCACCATCAACGGGTTAGTAGAAATGGTGGGGCTTTCCTATAACACTTCAAAAAATTGATTATATACATGTTAATCGTCGCTTTCTTTAATTAAAAAGCAAATGTGTGTACACCGATAGCGAAATCGGTGTGTTTTCATCAAGTTACTCTCTGATATGCAACATGGAGCTGATGAGGTAGATCCTATTCTCTAAGAAATGTACACAATTGCATACTGCTCAGGCATATGATGATGTGCTAAATGTATTAATGGCTAAATGTCTTGAGCAAACATTAGAAGGCAAACGCGCTCACAGCTTTATGGAAAAAGGCTGTTCAATATAATATGTAGAAGCATTTGCTATAGGCCGAAAATGCCTCCACAGATTGGCGCACAATGTGAAAAAATTTAGCAAATTCAACGTAATTATATTTCTTCCTACTAAAGTGGTATCCAACATTACCTTTAACAAAGCCTAACAGTCTTGTCTAAACACACGATTTCATCAACCTCAGTACACTTGTCTCTAGATATTCTACAATGAGGATGTTTTCTTAATTGGATTTTGAGCGGTAGTTGACGAGGAAATATTATGACATATACGCACGTCGAAATCTGGCATTTACTAAAATTATATTGTTTAAGTCTAAAAAATATAGCTTTGTTCCGATGAAAGTTTCTAAGTGCATGCCAACGCCATTTTTACACACACATATATATATCTAGTATTTCAAGTTACGCTCGTCAGTCAAAATAAATGCAAGATTAAAAGTATCTGGTCACAAAAACTGTTAAATTTTTATTACGACGTTTCAGCTCGGATTTTTAAGAATAAATGGATACCATCCTTTACATATTCTAATGCATGATTCAAGGTGTAATGTTCGTGAGACGTTTTCTCTATTTTTAATATTATGAAAAACCACTTGCATTAAGACTCACGATGCTACAAGCGGAATGCCCTGCGTCCAACCGAGCGATATTGAAGAACATTCTGATGTCGTAAATTGTATCTACAACAACTGCATGTCTGAAATTAAAAGACAAATACAACGGCATCGCGTGTCTAAATGTGCGAAATTTCAACCATAGTTCGGGGTGTTCAAATGCACTCTCGCATATTGTATTCGACTACTAGGCCCAAGGAATCAGTATTACACGTATATATATATATATATATATATAGATATTTAACACGCAAAAATGTAGCAAAAGGTATTTCTTAGGTTTTTTATAGCTGCTCCATTCGGCAGTTACCTTGCTCGTCTTCCTGAGACCACCAGCTGGATCCCACAAGTGTACTACATCGTTTTCCTGATGGGTTTAGATGACGGTTAAGAAAATCAAACAGCTCAAATTGGTTGGCGTTTTCTGGAAAGCCAAGAATTACCGTGGGTTCCACTGTAATTTTATATGATATAATGTGCCAAGTGAAATACGATTCTGTTGGCGGAATTGAAATACAACTTCGGAATCTACGTTGTTGCCATAATTCAGGAACAAGTCCTGCAAGCTGCAGAGGTAACATTTGTTGATTATTTTGCATTAGTTAAAGCAATTGTCATGAATGTAGTCAATAAGATTTTACGGAATTTCTTACCAAACTGCAAAGACGATTGTGTTTGATATGCGTGGCACTTGTGATCAAGTGAACTCCGATAGCTGAAGATTCAAAATTTTGGGCATAAATGTTTGCTCTATCATTGTCCCATAAGTACATGTTAATTAAATATTCTGCTCCTTCGTAATGGTTTAAGTGATATTTGTGAAAATATTATGTTATCTTAGATCGTTATTGTAGTATTTTGAAATGCTTCTTTTCTCCTCTATACTTAGGTTACCCAAGTTACCGATGCCTGCTTTAATCATTTTTCATGTATATAATTATCGCGCGTGCGAGGATTCTTTCTACTGCATGTATGCATTAATTTAGATAAACGCTTGTTAGTGTCATCTTTTCTACTCAGATGAGCAACCAATGTCACAGTCAGTGCTCTTGACCTAGGTATGACATATTACTTCTTGTATTGTTTATTGTATTATGTACAATGTGTTAAGTAGATCCATTACTTCTTTAACATTGTTATTAATTGTTATGTCCGTGCTTTCCTTTGGCCGGATGAATTGATGCCGACAGTTTATCCTGCATTCAACTGAAGACACTGCGGCCACTTGAGGAGATACATTATAAGGAAAATTACAGTACCTCAGTTCGTATAAACCGGTGGCTACGCCGAATTGAGCGAATGCAAATCTAGTCTATTCTTGCGAACGGAGGCTATCTCGAACTGTGCATGAGGCTAAAACACCTTAGTGGTGTTTCTTGACATGCGCCTAGTCTCACTGCGAAGGTAGAGAAATTGAACAAGGAGTTCTGTAACAGCGATAGTAAAATATCCGCAGGGAATTCCAGTCCACACGTTCTGTGGTACTTGAACACATTGCTTCCTGTCGACAGTAAACTTGTACATAATTCCATAAAACGTTTACTTTGTGTTAAAGCTAGCGGTCCGGATAAGTTGTCTTCCGTCGTAATCAAAGAATATGCTGAATTGGTGGCAACGCAGCTTCCGTTCATATAAACAATGTGTAAGCAGCAACAAAATATCGCTGAATTCTTGAAAGGTTTGAGTATCACACTGCTGCCAAACCAAGCTCCAATATTTATCTATCTATCGTCTGCAATTCAATTGCTTTCAAGGTTCTGATGAACGTCATTCTTGGAATAATGCTATTCCAAGGTTTCGATAAAAGCAATTCCTAGAGTACTGCTATACCAAATGCGCTCCATAGACTCCTTTAAATTGTTTATTATAATTCAAGGTCAACTCCAGATGCTTTTGCTTGCCACTTACATCCGTACTGTCATTACTTGGCAACGAAAATAAAGTAACTCTTATGCTTATCATTAATTTTGAAAATGCATTCGTTTGTGTAGACCACAACGTGATGCTAAAAGATATACTTATTAATGGAATGCAAATCTACAATTTCTATTAGTTTAGAAATTAGTATTTCGGTCGCAAGCAGGCTACCTCACTTCCCACTAATCACCAACTCTGGTGATTTTCATGAAGCAACACTTTTTCTTTTCTCTTTGATGCTTAGATCAGCTAAACAATAGCCCCCACAGAAGTGACCTTATCAAAAGATTTTGACGACACTTTCCTTGGGATTAGTTATTGAACCATCGATTTTTCACTCATGCTGGAAGGTCAGTTGTACCGCCACTATATTTGGTTCAAGTTATCCCTTTTTCTTTACACAAAGGTGTAAAGTACCCGCAGTCTACTACAAAGTGTCCCAAGCAGTTTATTGGCAGCGATGGATTCCACACTTATTCGTCATTATAGTACCTAGGTGTGGTAGTGTACTATAGTTTATCTTGGACATTCCTGGAAATGTAACTTTCACAAAAGTCATGAAGTTGTCTTTCTATGCCACGTACAATAGCCACCTTTGCATCTGGTGGGTTGATCATTTGATTTGTTAGTGCCTGTGCCCTTCCCCATTGGATGTGCCATAATCCCGCGTTTTCCCGCGGTCTTCTAAGTAAACCATTTTATGTTAAGTGTCAGGGTTTAAGGCGTATCTTAATATAAGAGCGTATCGAGGCTTATAGTGTTTAGCATACGTCTCTCTGTACACAACAAATTTGCAACCCCTGGCACCTAATATATTGGTCGATAAAGGCATTAGCTTCAAACACTTCATTTGAATGTTTGGCAACATTATCTACTAGGCAGAATAAAAGCAGCTTTATGCGCGCACACAAGTGTACCGCTCGTCGGATATCACGATTCTTTCGCGTTTTCTGCCAGACCCCCAACCTGTCTTTCTAGACCTAACTAGCTGATTCACAACAGGATGAAGTTTCAGTCCTTAGTTAATCAAACTGATTTATGGTGCCTTTGGGTAGTGGGATATATTCTGGTACATATCCGAGAGGTTGTGTTTTGTAGCGGTATACACATTCACGTAAGGTGTATAGAGCAATTTTGTTTTTATTTGAAACAAATCTTCCATCCAAGACTTGCGTGATTTCCTCTAGGGAATGCTATTGTTAAAAAATAAAAACATTACATTTGGTTATGAACTTGGAGTAAAAATATTGGTTTCAAATTGTTGGTCTACAAAAGTAGAAGTCAGCATTACTAACTTCTACTGGTGTTGTCTGTTTCCATGGGATGTTTATTCGAATGGAGTATTTACGTAGAATACCAGCTAGGAGATTAGTCTACTCATTGAACAGCTATTCAAAGGTTTTACAATATGTGTGAAATAAATGCTGACCTGCCTAACGTTAATAAACAAACATTACATAAAATTGACTTACTCCTTATTTTAATAACAAGATATAAAAAGGTTATATGCAAATATAGTCAACTTATATATATATATATATCGGCTTCTGGTGCTTATCCAGACTAGTCTAATTTTGCTGGTTAGAATTAACGATGACGAATTAGCTGAATTATATCTTAATAAATTTAGTTTTAAAAGGGCTAAATTTTCAGTTTTATATATATGTATATATATATGCGACCTGGATGGTACGATAGTATAATCCCGCTCGCCTTTAAAAAAGAATTTTTCTTGGTAATATACTTTTATTTAAGTCCTTAGTATTAATGCTCTATAACCTCTTGCAAATTTGGTCATATGTTGTTAGTTTGGGAGATTCATATCCTTTTTCGATATCGCTAATTGAAGCCGGTGACATCTAATCTGTGTTCCTAAATGTACAGCTCACAGCTTTGCTTTGTTGCCCATCAGAGAAGAACTTGCTTTATGCTTGTTTCAAAAACACGGGGCACACACAACCGTAGAGCGTTTAGGAGCTGCTCAATTATATCCGAAAGTTTCAAATCCAGCTCTTCTCACGTCTCGTTAAACAGCATTCAATAATTCATGGATATATCGTAGCACCACAAAAATGAGGTTTATATTTTTTGTACGCATTTATTTTTGGGTCTAAGGGTAGCCCGTTATCTTTGTTTTAATGCTGCTTTCTCTGCTACCATATTTGTCTGTAAATGTCACAAAATTTGTCAGTATGTTATGTTATTGTTCTAGTCACCAGGTATTCACCGGCTCCCGTCTTTTTGTAGGCCACATAAAGAAGCTGCTGTGATCAATGCTACTCGCTTTCTGAACTTGACCCCAATTGCATCTTATACATCCTCTAAAAGGGCTTACCGCACAGATTATTACCTAAACATTGTTAATATGGTTCTCGTCTTTATGATTCTGTCACAAAAATATGCTTTAAGTTCCGAGGACTAGTATGTTTTCGTAGTTTACTGTATGAATATATGGGTTTTAAATTATTTATTGGCATACTTTATTGCCCAAATGCTTCCAAAATTACCAAGACCGTTTTATTAACCACAATATGAATACTAAGACAAGCTACCACGCACCATACGCGATTCGTTGTCTATGTCCACGATATTTTATACCCGTTAACGTTAATTCCGAAGAAATTTATTTGTATAACTATATTCGCTACAAAAAATCCGGGGATTCTGTTTAACAGTTTGGCTTAATGCCAAAAACGCCGACCATTTTACTTGGGTGACATCAACGTCTTCCTCCCTTTTGTTTATCCACTCAAATAATTTGTAAGTTTAATGACAAAATTTGTTTCATGAGCAGTTAATATTGTAAATTTCTGAAGCGTAACTTGACAAGACTTGACTTGAAAAAGCTATAGCTTTAGTGCTTAACAATGAATTATACTCATATAGTAACTTAAAATCCTGAAATTGTGCATATAAACATAGCATGTTCTTACATATTAAAAGTTGTTTTAGGGTTTATTAGCAAAATTGTCACTTATAATTACGCTACACGACTTTTGTCTTTAATTCAAAGCAATTAATATCTTTTAGCTATCTTCAATAATGAACGTATTCAAGATTGCAAGCAGAGTCGTACCATGTAAAACTTATTAAGAGTCCGATGGTTTGGAGCTTATTTTATATGTAAGG